TTGTCGGTTAAATCACAGAGACAGAGGGGCCAAAAAGCAATTTCATCAGTGGCCATCCAGCCAGCCAGGAAACCCCTTTTCCCCACTTAACCAACTCAACACACTCTTAACCGCAAAAAGCACCACCACCACCACCGCCACCACCCATGGCGCCCTCCAACCAACCACTTCTCCTCCTCCTGCACCTAAGCTGATGCTGGCACTGGCGCTGAGTGCTTAGTGGGGATGCCACATTAGGCAAATATGTAAATAACTTTTAAGGAATTAAGCGCACTCACCACACACAAAAAGCTCAGCCAAACGAGACGAGACGAGAGGTGGCTCAGGGGAGGGTATAAAGAACAAGGAACAGGGATCCTACAAGGATTTTGTGTGAGCATACTTCCTTGGGTCTTGCTTATCAGCTGATAAACAAGGCCTAAACAATGCCATCACTTATACGCCATGTTGCAACGGTCGCTTCGACAGCTAAAATGGGGCATGCAACAGGGGAAAAGTGATCCAGGAGCGGAAACGCAGGAAATGCGTTTGACACTGAGGGAAAAAGTGGTTGTTTAATGGAAGAAATATTTGAAAAAATTAAGGTTTAAGCTTAGTTTTTGTTTCAAGTTATTTTTCAGAAACTTGAATACTTTATCCTTAAGAGTTCAAAAACTTTATATACATACAAATTAAAATCCAATAAATATCTATAAATATCTATCTTAAATCATATCTCTCTCTGATATATATTTTCCCATAATTCAATACCTTTTCCTCTTCATTTTTCAGCCCAATGCTTGCAGTGTTCCAGGTGGAAAACATTAATTACACACACGTTATGCCAGCAGAGACAAACCAAAGGAGGCCAGAGGAGCAGGCCATAAAGAGGAGGCCAGAGGAGCTACCCAGAAGAGCAGGCCAAAAGCAGGACCCCAAAAGCATGAAGGAGAAGGGAGCCCAGCGGAGCAGCCAGACCAGAAGGCAAACCGCAAGCGCGTCATTACCGAACACAGGGAACACACGGGTAAGCCAGCGGGAATCGAAGGGACAAACGGACGGAAATGGGAAATCCAGAGGCTAAAAGGGGGACGATAGGGAAACAGGGAGTAGGGGAGTAGGGAATTGAGACTGACGCAGAGAATTGGGAAACCGCCAGGGAAAGTTCTGCTGCGCCTGCTCGTCCTGCTGCGTCTCCTGCTCCTCCTTTTGCTGCACTTTATCTGCTCCAGTTGCAACCGGAGAGCTGCGATGCGACGCACTGGGCTCCCTCCTGGCAGTCAGTCGCATCAACATCGGTACTGAGGTAGGGAAACTCCAGAGCCCCAGAGCATATTTACATTTGCTCTGGCATTTAATGCAAGTGGGAATTACAAAAAAGGAGGGCGTGGCTAACGATGGTGTTGTTCGGTTTGTTGTTGTTTGTTGTTGTTCGTTTGCCTCCTGGCAGGACGATTTAAAATATTCGAACTAAAGGGAAAGGAGAGCGAATAAAAAACAGGGCCCAGAATGGATAGTTAAAAGCAGAAATGGGCGTCGTATAAACGGAAACCAAGTAATATGCAGAGAGTGCACAGAGCCAAAAATATGGATTTTTTATTAAGAATTATTAGCTTTTAAATTTAATTTAAATTTTATTAACGGCAAATTGTATACCGAGAGTATAGATTTATTAAATCATATAATGTTATACTTATACCTAAAACTTTATTCAGCATTCCCACTTTAATATCTCCCTGGCATTATAATATTTCTTTTGCCTGTAATCGCTCCTGTTTCGAGCTTTTCAGCCCGCATTTTCCCGTAAGAGCGGTAAACAATAATAACAGACAACAACAATGAAGCATGATGGCCCTGCGAGGATTACAGGACACGGCCATGGCTGCTGCTGGAAAACTGAAGCATCGAGCGAGAGGACCAGCGAACCAGCGAGTGAGTATGCGACTAAGTGTTTTGCAACGGAAACGCCGAGCTATCATGCAAAAAGCCACTGTCAGATTAACGAACCATGGCCAAAACAGATAGGAAAGGGAGGGGGGATTCACTGAGAGTGAGTTAAATGGGGGCTTAAGAGGAGGCTTCACGCTACACAGAGAGAGAGAGAGGGAGAGGAGGTAGAGGTAGAGGTACCCCCAAGGTAAATGGCATCGAGGGAGAGACGACGACCAGCTAGTGAGATCCGCAGTGAGGCACGTGACGCAGCGACAGTCCATGACCAAGTGCTGATTTTTTATCAGCATCAGCAAGCCGGAATGAAAGGATGTTGTGGCCAGGCCAGGAAGCGACGACGAAAAGGACATGGTGAATGAACGAAAACTGACAAAAAGGTTATTGACATTGTTGTTTTCACCCACTCCCCACACACACGCTTTTCCTGTCTCGCCAGATTTTCGTTCTCTTCAAAAATTTCGCAGACTTGCTAGCAAACAGACGGCGCAACAACAAAAAAAATGATAAATTGTCTGAAAACTTGGATTTATGGTGGGAAAAATCTACTACCTTAAATGGAAATTGTAGAGTATTTTTTCAAGGGTTTTTTACAGATTTTAAAGCATTTTTTGAGGGAATATTCTTTACTTAATATTTTAATTATATTTTTTAAAACAAGGCTTAAGTATTACTTGTTTTTCTGAGGCATCAAAATATAAATTCTTATCTTAAAAAGTGTGTTTTTTCTTATTAATTAAACTTTCTCAAGAATTCTTCACATAATATCACTCATACGCAGTGTTGTCTACCTTTAATTTAGTTATATTAAAAGGAAATTTAGTCAAATTTTATTTAATTAAACTGAATTATATATTTTATGTGTCAAATTTTATCTAATTAAATAAAAAATTCTTTAGTTCAATTAGTAATATTTTTTTCTTTTGTTCCCCAGACTCTTGAAGCTATAAAAAACATCACTGTATCCTTCGGTTCAAAAAACCGCTTAAAAACCTTTTGTACACTTGCAGGCGTCTTCTTGAGAAATAGAAAACAACAAAAAAAAATAGTAGCAAAAGGACAAAAAATAAAACCCTGCAAAACAGCTGAAAACAAAGCAAAGTCAAGCGGAACGTAACAGAAACTGCGCAACTTTTGAAGAGGTGGAAATGCTTTTTAAGTATTAATTTGCGCAAACACTCAACGCAGCAGCAACAGCAGCGGTGGCTAAAAGCGACGGGAAAACAACAAAGGAAGGCACAAAAAAACAAGTTAATAAAGCAGTTGCAGCAGTGAGGACCTCCTTCAGTTGCCTCTTCAACCAGTGTGACCCCCTCCCCTGCTGGTAAAGCACTAGCAAAAAATGTATTATTAATTTTTAAAGTGGTAAGAAGAGTGGAAAATTTATTAAAAAATAGATATTTATTAACTAAAGAATTTTTAAGATATATTTTTGATAAATAAAACCCTCAGAAACCTTTGATAACCCTCAAAAAAAGTATAGTATACTTTTAGACACCAAAAATAAAAGTATAGTATACTTTTAGACACCAAAAATAAAAGTTTTTAAATCGCCAGAAAACATTTTAATAACTATTTTTCTTAATTTGAATAATAATTTGTATTTAAAAACATATATATACATATTTTTCCAAGTGCTTCTTTCACTTTTTGGCCAATGTCCTCCTAATTGTTTGCAACACGGGCAATCGCTTTGCGCCAACACCTCCGACTAGGACACCCGTAGGACACCTACGTTAAAAGGTTTCCTTGCCCAAAGCAGCAGCAGCCACCCCGTCGATATACAAAACAACCCACCAGCACCCTCCCACCGTCATCATGGCCTTCATCTAAAGTGCATTTGCTGCTGTTTTGCGTTAATTGAAAACTTTTTTTTTGTGCGAGCAGATATTCGTATTTTTCACAGCATGGCAAAAAACAAAATCTGAATTGGAAAAGTTTAGTTTTTAGTTTTTGTACACACACAAAAAAAGGGTGTATAAGTTGTAGTAAGTAGAAGTGCAACTGCAACTCTGAGTTTTTAACGCTTTGCCGCCTTCCATTTGTTTAGACTTTAACCCCCCGAAAGCTGGTCCTCCTCCTAAAAAAAAGTAAATAAATAGAAAAACAAAAAACACCCCCAAAATCCAGCTCTAGACTTGAGTGTGTTTGTTTCTCCTTTCGAAACTTGGCGGCCAATTAGTTGGCTGCACCAACATCGTGGAAGGAAGAGCTATATGGCTTTAGCTAGGACTTGAACTGGTTGTGGCAGCTGTTGGACTTGGCTAAATCGTGGAAATCCACTTTAAGCTGTTTGGGTTGCCGCGCGTTTTTTTGGGCGGATTTTGAAATTGTCAAAGAATGAACTGAACGTAGCTAGGCGCCTTGGGGAAAAAGCTCTAAGTGAATTTTCCTAGGAAATACGAGAGCTTGTTGGAGATCAGGTAAAGTCCTTAAGAACCTAATGGTTATAGCTGAAAGCCATTGGCAGGGGAGGGCATAAAAAGCAGCCTTTAAAAGGTTGATCCTTGGAAAAGTGCAAAGGTTTTATAATAATGGGGTTATGACACTGTACTTTTGCTTTCGTCTATTGAGGTAAGATATTTATCATCCTATGGATCTTAAATATTTATTATTTTATTTTGTTTTATTTAATATAAAAAAGTAGTATATGTAACACTTTTTAAGACCTAAAGCTGAAAAAAATGTGACCGTTCTCGTTTAACAAATTAAATTGCAAGTATAAATTGCAAACTAAATATTTAGTTTTTACTCCCACAAAAAAGCATCGCTGTACAAAAAAAATTTTAAGTTATAATAATCTCTTGAAGTCTTCAAAGAATAAAGACAACAATATAGTGTCATAACACCATTAAAAAAATATTCAAATTTATTTCATTGACAACAAGTTTATTACCCACTCGGAGAGATAAGATTTAAGCTTAAAACTATATTATTAAAATTAATTTCTATTTCAGATTAGCAACAAATCTTCAACACTTATTAAACCGAATATAATTATGAATTAAAGTTCTATAACCTTTCCAAAGAGATAAGAATATTGTATATATATATTTTATATTTTTTTTACTTACAATTTCCCGCTGCAGCTTGGCAATATTAAAGTTGGCCTGGGCCAGTCTCACGCTCAGGGTGGCCACATCGCTGGTTAGCTGGGCTCGCTCGCCGGCATTCCGGTCCACCAGCTTGAGCATCTTGTCCTCCAGACTCTGATTGACCTTCTGGACACGCTTATGCGACTCGTACAGCCGATCGTATTTATCCTGCCACGCAATCACACTATCCTCCAGCTCCACCTGACGTTCCGTTTCGCGGAGGCAGGCCGATTCCAGATTATATAGCTGCGTCTGCTTCTCGATTAATGCCTGCTGCAGCTGCTCAATTTCCGACAACGCCGCTCCGGGGGCGGAAGTTTCTGCCGCTGCCGAGGAGGAGGCTACGGGTGAATTGGATATGCCAGCAGTCGCTGCTGGAGCCGCCTGAAATTGAAGTGACCGAAACACACACACAGAGAAAATGAAATTATGAGCTGCGAATATATATTTTGTAATTAATTTTGCTTCCGGGGGAGCCCGCAACAACAAAGCATTCCGCCGGACGCAAGTGTCACACGATTTCGACTGCAAAAACGCTACTGAAAGAGGGCTCCCCCACAAAGAGCGTGGTGCGGACAGCTACATACAATATTTTACAAGCGGATCTCTCCTCCTGTTTCTGTTTTTCATTTTTTTGTATTTTTAAATGACATTTTAAAAAGCTTTGAGCGTGCCGTGTCATAAAAATGCACGTCATGCCCGGGAATTTTGGGGCCAAGGGAGCAGAAGGACGGAGAGCTCGGACTTAACCCAACCCGTACAGCATCTGCGGCAGATAAGACAAAAATCAGGGGGTTTGAGGGAAGCCAGTAATGCCCTATAAAAACCTTGATTGGGTTGGTTTTATTAAAGGGTTTTTTATATTTAAAGGAATTAAGTTGTAAATTAAATAGTTTAATTCCCTTTTAATTTATTGTTTTCACTTGATTTGGTTTTTTTTATCTTTATGACATGATATGTTCATTTGGTTTTTTTTATCTAGCAAACTATTAATTAAAGTGTCAACTTTATGTTAAATGACACTTCAAACTATTAATTTATTGTACAGTTTCCAAAGTATTTATTGGCTTAATTAAGCCAAATTGTGGGAGGTATTTAATACCCGTTTTTTGAATACAAAATTACAATTTAATTAGCTTGAGTACTTTTGATAACTAAGTTAGCTTTAAACAAAAAATATACTTATTTTTTAATTAAATACAAAGTTTAAAATTTGGATAAATCGTTTTAAAATCTTTTACAAAGCTGCTTAAAAGTATGCCACGATTTTATTGTAGTTAAACTCAAAGAAGTAGTAAAACAAACTTTTGGGAAATTGCATAAAATAATAGAGACTTAAAAAAAATACTTTATTAAAATTCAATAAAAATAAAGCAAAAGTTCCCTTATAAATTATATTCCCACATATAAGAAATGTGTACATAAACCCCAAAAATTATAGAGTATATAGTACATAGCACATGGCATCGACTAGGTCTGTTGACAACTGATAAGGGAGCTGTAATTGTGGATTAAAAATCATGCAAACAGAGCGAGAAGAGCAGAGAGATCGAGAAACACAAACACAGAGAGAGATAGAGAGAGAGAGGAGAAGATCAGTAAATGAGAACTGAATTCAGAGATAATGCTGCAAAGCTTTTGTTTTTTTTTTTGTTTAATGAATGCTTAATCAGTACCAAACTGATATATGTATAAACCGTAAAATGTTCATGAGAAATCATCCCACATCTGGTTAGGGACTCACTCAACAATATTAGCTTGGTGACAGTCACAAAATAAAGAGTTTATATTTTATTTAAAATATTTTAAAAACCTAAGATAAGGTCACTGAAATATTTTAGCAATTTGTTATGACTTTAAGGTGTTAATTTTTAATTTAAAACAAATCCCGTCACAAAATAAAGCCTTTAAATGTATTTTAAAATATTTTAAAAACCCAAGTTAAGGTCACTGAATTCCCAAAATATTTCAGCAAAATCTTACCATTTTAAGGTGTTAATTTTTAAATTAAAACCAAGACCCATTTTCCACCTCAACTCATAATGCGGTTATCAATATCAATTCCAACCCAATCCATCTCCTGCTCGTCCAATTTAGTTGAAAATTTAGAGTTTTGAAGCAGAGAGACTCGGCACAGATGGCGTGGCGTTGCTGGAAATCAAAGTGCAAACTACGTTTCCCCAAACAACTAATTGGATTAACTTGACACAAAAAGCGAAGGAGTGTCCCCCACTTGGTTTGGAAGCCAGAATGTCGCCGACGGAAACTTTGTCTTTTGGTTTGGTTACTACTCCTTCAACTCCACTCTCCACACACACACACACAGGCCGTTGGAGGAAAAACCACATGAGTTTTCCTCTCGTCACATATGAGCGACGTGAATTGGCGAGGGGAAAGTCGCCCCCTGTCGCCTGGTGTCTCTTGTACTACTCAAACCTAAAAACTGCAGAATGTACAGAAAATTTAATTAAAAAAGGATTTTCGGCCTGGAAAGTTGCTTGGCTTCTCGCTGACTTGGCCTCTTTTTCGATTTTTCTCTGCTTTTCGTCTTGTTAACCCCTTTGAGAAGGCGAAGGCGTTAAATGCTTTTCAAAATAAAGTGAAAAGAAATTTTCTAGAAATTTTTTTTATGTGTTTTAAGTATTAATAATAATTTCAATTAATATTTTAATGCGAAATATAGTGAAAATACATTTTCTAGGATTTTTACTTGATAAATATTTAAGTAAGTTTTTTGTTGAAATTAATATTTCATATTTTATAAAGGAAAAAAATGTGTAAAAATGTTATATTAAAAAACTAAACCTCAAATTTTCCTACAAAATAATTTTTCATATTATTTTCTTATTCATTATATTTTTTTATATTGTTTTTCTTATTTTAAAATGTTCAAACAAGGGTTAACTGATTTCCATCCTTTTTTTATTTTTCAAAAATTTTTCTCTCAAGGAAAATAATTTTTCTTCGCACTCCATTTTATGCAAACGCATAAGAAAATTCAATTTATAGTTTGTGTGTGTGTGTGGGGCGAGTGGGCGTGGCAAATTGCCAAAGACAGACAATGCTATTAATTAATTTAGAAAGCATTTTCCAAGCGGAAGAAAGCGGCAACAATTAAAACGAAGCCGGTTAAAGTCCTGCCAGGGACGAAGGGTGGAGGAAAATGGTTTTAAAACTTTGCTCCTGTGAGTATATCCATCCGGTCCGGTGTGTGTGTTAGTGTGTGTTTCCCAGGATAATTTCTGCTGTCATATGATCTGCTTGCCTTTTGGTCATTAAAACCATTTTCATGTTGTCACTTTTTTTTTGGTTCTACTTTTATGTCGACATTTATGTTAGTTTTTTGCTTTTGCGGCTTGTTTTTAAATAATGTATTAAATGCTTTTTGTTTTTAGGCAGCAGCAAAACACAGAAATGAATTAAACAAGCTAAACGAGAGGGCGGATGTGTATTTTTTACCTTTTGTTTACCTTTTTGTTGAATATTTTTAATTGATATTATTGGATATTATAAAGGCTTAACTTGTAAATTAAATAATAATTTTATTCTTTTTTAGATATAGCATTTTATCTGTCCGTTTTTGTTTTATTTACTTATTTATGTAGACATTTGTTTTGTAAACCATTAATTAAGGTGTTAATTTTATAATTAAGGGTCACTTTAGAGTTGAATTTTATGAATTTTTGTATGTCAAGGTCTTTGAAAAATCAATAACAGTTGAATTTTAATTAAGAAATACAAAATTTACTTATAAATTTATATATTATCCCTAAGAAATCTAGGCAAAACTCCTTTTTTCCATTTCTACAAGTCAATGAAATAAATGTAAAACCCTCATTAATTAAGTCCCGCTCTATTGAGTACTTTATTTTGATAAAAAATGAAGACATGACATGGTCTTGTCACCAAACTTTTCAAGAAACTTTTTATCAGATTCCAAATGTTAAAGCTTCCGCAGAGGAGGAATTTGCTAAAGGACTCGCCTGGAGGGGCTTTCGTTTTTGACTTTTGTTTTGGGGCCAATCCTTTCGCTGCTCATTTTTCATGAACATTTTTTGAAGGGCAGGAAGTGGAATGAGGCAAAGCTGCTTGCCGAGTTTTCCCCATGCACACTTGATGACTCTCCGAAAACCGTTTTCTAATTGTCATCCTTCTTCTACTTGGAGTGCATTGGGAAAAACCCCATGGCAAGTAATGAGTGGAACTTGAGAAAATGCGGAAAATGGAATGGGGTAGAGTTGGAAAAGAAAGGCAAGTGAAGGAGCTGGTTGGTTGTACTTGCCATTATTTATTATGTTGCTCAAGTCTTTCATTACACAAGCATTTCAGTGTCTTTCATTTGTTGCCTTTTGTGTCGAAACAGAAAAAAATACAACAAAAAATAAATAAGGAGCAAACGAGGGGGAATTCCTCTTATCAACCTCACCGAGGAGATGTTGTCACATTCCTTCACTGCTTATTTACAGTTATTTGGTTGCTCATTTTCTTCGCCATTTCTCTCTTATCCCCAAAAAAAAAAAAAAGGGAGGAAAAAATATGGGGAAGGAGGTGGAAACGGAAGTATAACGCCCAAGTGTAGACTATGAATAAAAGAATAATTCTTATTATTACAAGGTTTTTACTTTCATTATACAATGATTGTGCTTATTTAGGTTAAAATTGTGGTTTTTAAATTAAAAATATATTATTAAAACTGATGCGAAAATATTGTATATATCCTAGAATTTATATTAAGTTAATTTGAAATTCTTTTGTCAACACGAAGAGCCTTAAAACTCGATGACTTGGTCATATTTTAAGCTTAGAAAACTCCTTGTTTTTAATCTCAAATCAATATTTAAGGAAAAGGGAAGAAAATGCCAGTTATGAACCCTAAATTATTATTCATAAATATCAAATATTTATAGAATATTTTTATTAAATCAAAACCCAACTTAGCTTTAAAATATAAACCAAAACTCTCCTGAAATCGATTCCATAATCACCTTCCTCTATCAAATCTCATAGTTATATCCTCAAATATTTTTTATTTACCTCACAGAAAGTTCAACATTGATTGACTTTGTTTATTTTAGTTTCAACTTTTCACCCAGTCTCAACCCAGTCTCCACCCAATCTCCACCCAGTCTCCGCCCAGTCCCTCTCATTGTGCATTTCAGCCTCATTTGAAGGGATAATTACAGATCACCCCCAAGTTCCTGACCAAAGTTCCCTTTTTGTTTTTTTAGTAACCTAAAACGCAACTGTTTTTCCAGCTCAATCGATAAACAAATGCGGTAAACATCAATGGACAGAACGCCAGGAGAGTTTCCCATTTCCCAGCGGAAAAACTCGCACAAGAGTGCTACTTGAGCAAACAATCTCGCGGGGTGGCGGTGGCGGTG